GTCCTGAGGATACCTGCAGAGGTTCCTGCGGCGAAGTCCAGCCCCGGTCCCTCCAGGACTGTGGGATGCAGAGGCCCAGGAGGCTACGGACGCCACGGAGCATGGCGGCCCTAGGTTAGGGAAAAGGGTACCCTGCTCAGCGGGGATCCCGGTCAGCGGGCTGGGCCTCGTTCAAGGAGGCGGAGCCAAGGGACCAAGACCGGGCCAGCCGCAGCTCAGCCCCAAGCCCTGCTGCACCCTGCCCCTCCAGCGCCCCGGGGCTGCGCATCGCAGGGGCAGAACTTCCAACTTCCAAGATCTGGCCTACGAGCTGAGGCCGGGGTCTACGCCGTCACCAACCGTCACCAATCATCCACCTCCTTCCACCTTGGGACTCTGGAGCCAGCTTCGGTCCCGCGCTTGGTCAACCGCCTGCGCTCCCAGACCGAGTGAGGAGAGCTTGCTTCGGCGAGCGTTCATCCCTGGTGTCCGTGCTCCCTCCGGTGGCCTAGAATGGGATTGCGGGTGGGATGGGAGGGACTGAAGAAGGGAGGAGAAAAAAGCTATGAGCTGGACGGAATAGATCCCAGAGATCACAAAGATCATCTGAAGAAATCGAAACCTGAATAGTTAGGTGACTCGCCCAAGGTTATGCGAGCAGTAAGTATCAGAGTCAAGATTCGAACCCAAGACGTCCGACTAACTGCAAGTCAAATGATACTTCACTGCCTCTCACTGAGAGCCTCCAGAACACAGCTGTGGTTGGACCAGCCTAACCAGAAGCCAAAGGGTCAGGTCATAGGGCAATATTAGGATTCTAAGATTTCTAGCTGGGAAGGATCATTTAGTCCAAGCCCTCATTTTACATGGGAGTAAACTGAGCCTTAGATAGGGAAAGTAAGAGGTTGAAGAAAGACAACCCTGAGGGAAGAGAGAACAGGCCAAGTGGCCCCTTGCTTTTTTTATACCTCTGCCTGAATGCCTAGCTTCATCTCCTCCACCTATCCAAATCACAGAATCTTGAAGTTGGAAGTGACCTCAGAGCCCATGTAGTTCCATAAAAATCCTGATCTAGAATTCCTTCTATGAAGTTCTCTAAAAGTAGCTTTAAATTCTTCACAGAGGGGTCATTGACTTTCCCAAGTGGTCCATTTCAATCTACAGGGATAGAGAGTAAGCCCCTGATTTCACTGATATAGGAAGCTCCTTTTTTTTTTAAGGCAAGTGGGGTTAAGTGACTTGCCCAGGGTCACACAGCTAGTGCTAGTAAGTGTGAAGTGTTCGGTCTGAGGTCATATTTGAACTCAGGACCTCCTGACTTCAGGGCCCATCCTCTATCCACTGCACCACCTAGCTGCCCCTAGGGAACTCCTTCTACCAATGCAGTCTAGCACCCTCTCAAAGTCCCATAGCCAGTTTGGGAGGGATATCCCAATGTCTTTATTGCCTACACCTGTGCCCCACCCAAAGGAAGGATAGACTAATATAGACCAATGGAGGAAGATGAGTATCCTGGAGATGTGTCATAGGACCCCAGATTTAGAGAGGGACATGAAATTAGAATTGTTAAGAACTTTTTCCTTACACTAAGCCCAAATCTACCTCTCTGTGATTCCTCCTCTCACAGTGTTTCTAAGAAGAAATAATCTAATTCTCTTTCACAGGCCAGCCCTTCAATTACTTGAAGATAGGATGTTGTCCCTAAGACTTTTCTTCTCTAGGCTAAACATCCCCGTATCTTTTTACCAATCTTCACATGGCATGGTCACAAAACAACTTCTCCAGCCTGGTCACCCCTCTTTGGATGCTCTCCAGTTAGTCAAAGTCCTTCCTAAAATATGACACCTCAAACTGTGAACTCAGTGCTTAGATGTATTCTGACTAGGGCTAAGTAGAGTGGAACCCAAAACTGAACCTAATCCTTAGGGAAAAGTAGTGGGTGACAGCACCTCCCTCATCCTGCACAGGATTCCTCACAATGTAGCCTAAGGTGGCATTTTTTTTTTTTACTACCATATCATACTGTGAACTCACGCTAAGCTAAAAGTCCCAAATCTTTAACAATTAAATTTTATTTTTTAATTAACAAAATTTTATTTTCCCTCCCATACCCTCCCATCAAAGGGGGGAAAACAAAATCCTTGTAACAAAGCATATTGGCTATTTCCAAAAAATGTCTTATTTTGCACTCTGAGTATGCCGTCTCTCTATCAAGACATGGGGTAGTAAGCTTTATCCTCTGGAGTCATGTGATTGGTCATTTCATCGATCAGACTTTTTAAGTCTTTCAAAGTTGCTTGTTTTTACAGTGTTGTAACTGTATAAATCGTTCTCCCTCTGAATCAGTTCATACAAATCTTATCAGGTTTCATGGAAATCAAACCCCTCATTGTTTTTATGAAAGCCCATCTCTTTTTCAGATGTCTAGACTCACCAACACCATCACGGAATACTGGTTAGAGTCCTGGACTAGGAGTCTGGGTTTAAATCCAACCTCTGGCACTGACAAGCTATGTGACAATGAGCAAATGACTGAATTTCTCTGAGCCTTGGCCTCCTCATCTGTGAGAATGGAGCATATGTCCAGCAGTATTGGGAGTGCCCCAGTCCAGCAGATCTGGGCCTGATGATCTCTGCTGCAGCCTCTGCATGCTTTAAAACCCTATCAGCTACTACAATGAGAAGATAGTAATAACCCTATAGAGACATTAAATTTCATCTTCTTTAGATAAAGCTCATCCTTTTAATGTCACCTTCTCTTTGTATTCTGACTCTTTCTACATGATAGCTATCATTCCCAACTTTGTATTATCTACAGATTTCACATAGGCAGGCTTTCTAGGAATTCATTCAAATCTGTGATTAAAGGACATGGGGCCAAAAAGAGATCCCTGGGACACTTGGCCACAAACCTGCCTCTAAGTCCTTTAATGGTGTTCTTTGGGTCTGGCCTCCCTGCCCTTCATGGCCAAGCTCAGGGTCCACTTTCCTTCATGAAATCTTGCTCATTTCTGTAGCCCTTAGTGCCCTTTCCTAGTACAGTGGAAGTAATACTGGCTCTGGAGCCACGGGGCCTGAGTTCAAATTCTCTCTGATGTTGGATGAGATCACTTTTGACGTTCCAGTTCTGGATCTATGAACTCTTAAAGCAATACACTTGGTATTTTGCTGGCTTGTGTGGCTAAAGGATACATGCTACCCATGCTACCAGATGGACAGGTCATTGAGTTAGTTCATCATGACATACATCTTATACAGCCCTGCAGCTGGATGGCAGTCTGGGCCAAGATTTGAATAAGAGAGTGGGTTGGATCATGTGTGGAAAATTGCACTATAGCAGTTCAGTTGCTAGTGATGCTGGGTGGCTGTGAAGCTTAGAACATGGCATGATGGCCAAGGAATCCAAACTATGGGTGGACCAAGAGACAATGAGTATAACCAGGCTGTGACGGGTACTCAACAAGGACTACATGGTGACAAGCAGCACACAAGAGACCAGACTAGGGAAGGACGCAGGCGACTTTATAGACCACCCTACCTGGATGACTTGCTATTATTTCTTACACACAAAATTCCATCATCTAATGCCATACGTTTGGGCAAGCTGGGCCCCATGCCTGGAATGCTCTCCCTCCTCCTCATCCTTTCTTAGAATCCCTTACTCCCCTCAAGGCCCAGCTTATGTCATCTCCTATGTAAGGCCCATCCTTAATTCCTCCCCTCCCCCATCAAAATACATACATGCATACATACATACATGTGTGTATGTATATACATACATTGTAATTACTTGTGTATTCTTTGTTTCCCCCTCAAATTATACATACGATATGTAGATATATTATAATTACTTATCTGTGGACACTTTATTCCCCTCTAAATTACATATATATATATATATACACACAAATATAGTAATTAATCTGTGCATACTTTGTCCCCCCAAAGTACATGTTTATGTATATATAGCTATATTGTAGTTACTTATCTATGTCCCTTGTTCCCCTCTCAAATTACATAGATATCTATATCCATATAGATATATTGTAATTAATCTGTGTGCACTTCGTTCTCACCAGTTAATATACTGTAAGTACTTATCTGTATATACATTGTTGCCCCCAAATTACATATAGCTATATTGTAATTACTTATCTCTGTATATCTTGTTCCCCTCCCCAAATTACATATATATGTATATACTGTAAGTACTTATCTGTGTACAATTTGTCCCCCTCCCCACTTCCTCACCCTCTTCTCCCACAGGGCGAAAACTCCTTGAGAGCAGGGAATGTGTCAAGTTTTTTTTTCCTTTGTATTATTCCCAGTAACTAGCAGAGTGCCTGCCTGGCACAGAGCAGTCACTTAATAAATACTTGTTGAATGAATAATGCAGTTGAATAGTTAGCTATGAAATATATTAAAAGAGCTAGAGGCAATCCTCCAGCATACTGAGTGGATAAACAGAGGATTTACAGCAGGATTTGGACCAGAGTCACCCAAGAGGAGAAGATCCAGACAGACTGCCGTGCTCTCTGAAGGGGAGAATCCTCATGTGATGAGCACATGGAACGCTTCAAGTTTTCTGGTGTTCATGTCGAGCTCCCCTGTAGTTACTTGGAATGAGGGAGAATGTCTTCTACTTTTCTTGCATTGTCTCCACCCTATCCATCTCCCAAGGTTTTTACCCCTGATAATCTGAAGTTTCTTCTAATTCTAAGAATCCCTATGAATTAGAGAGTGAAATTCAGGCTCTGAACAACTGGAGACCCAACCGAGAGGAAGCATCTCTGTGGGTCAAGCTTTCTAAGAGAGACACGCCCAGCTTATGCAAACCCAAGAGCTGACCTCTCTGTTGGGGATCCCATTTCCCTCCCCTTCCTGCTTCTATAGGCTTTGGGAGATGGGTCCTGGAGAGGGATCCAAGGAAGGAATTCTCTTGCCTCGCCCCCTCCTCCTCTTTCATGGAGAGACATTCACAACAGAACTGCTCGCCACCATAAGAAGGTCACAAGCACAACTCGGCTCTATCGTGCTAGTTCAGGTATTTATTCTGGGACCATTGCCATGGCTCCAAAAGGCTTCTGGTCACCAGGCTTCTTCTGTGCTATGCACTACAGTACTTGTGGTGTCGGAGCCCCCCACACATACATACATCCATGAGCCCCTTCAAGGGATAGATGGAGCTGGGAAAGTCACTCCTCCAGCCCAAACAAAACCTGGGGGATGCTGGCTCCCGTGATGGCCTTTCCCTGAGCTCCCAAGACCCTCTTTCACTCCTGAGGCAGGACAGGGAACCAAGCATCCAGGCAACATTCATACTGACCTAAGTGGGGTGGGGGCAGTGCCCCTGTCCACTGTCCCAGCCCCTTAAGCACGGGGTGGGAAAAGCTCTGGTCAGCTGCCAGCGGCTGACCGGGGCATAGAGGCAGAGAAGCAAGGGGAAGAGACATGGAAACTGCTTCCAGGAAGGAGGGAAGAAGGTGCCAGAAGTGAGAGCTGAGCAGACAAGGGCAGAGTTCAAAGGAAAGGGTTGGTGCCTGCCTGAGAAGAGGGGTTCAGGGGTCCCACTGCACCAGACATGGGGAGCAGGGGCTGAGGCAAGGTCCCAGGCAGCTGAGGGAAGGTGCCAGCCTGAGGGAAGACACTGACAGAGGCAGGAAGGGTCATTCCTGCTGGAACGCTGCTGAGTGGAAGGGGCAGAGAGGCGCTGTAGGTCATTGAGCCTACGGGAGCACCCACAGGCACTGAGGAGGCCAGATTGGGCCCTGGAGACCCTGTCCGCATCTGGTTGAGAGTTGGCTTGCACTGCTCACCCAAACTGAATGGGTTGGTTGGGGACGGGGCGCTGAGACCTGTTGGAGAAGAGAAAACAGATCAGAAAACAGAGAGGTCAAGCAGTTGAGGTCTGAGGCGGAGAAACTGGAGGCTAAGACTTAGATTTAATGGTGTGTGTGTGTGTGTGTGTGTGAGATACTGGCACAGACACCATGCATAGATTGGAAATGGAGACTTTGATTTGACAAGGGAGTAAATGGAAAAGCTGAGATGTAACTAGGGTAAGGTGACCAGATTGTTTTCTCGGGGTGTTGAAACTGAGAGGATGCTGAGTTCTTCCCCACTTCCTTGACAGCCACACCTGAGGTAAACTACTCCCCACCTCTGTGATATTGGCCATCTTGGAAGGCCCTTCCTCCGTTCACCGGCCAAGTTCCAGGGGAGTTCCCTTGCCTTGCTCCCACTTCTCCCATCCCCCTGGTGTCAACATTTCAAAGTATGGATCTGGGGGAAGAGGGTGACAGATGAGTGGAGTGGGAAGTAGGGGGAAGGGAGGAGGAAGCGTCATCTTTCTACTCTACCTGAAAGGAATGGGTTTCTTGTCTTCGTAGGTTGTGGAGCCATCACTAGTGAATCCAGGTTGACCAAGGAGGAGGCTGAGGGTCCCAGGAAAGACTCAGGGGTCTGGCAGGCTCGACCGTCTTTGCCTGCCTGAGTCAATGCCCCACCAAGTCCTCCCAGGTCAAAAGCATCTGGCTCCTTTGTGCCATTCTGCTTGGAGCTAGGGAGAGGGTCTCCAAAGAGGTCTAGGTCTAAAAAAAAAGTAGGAGGAGCTCAGATGCAGGGGAAAGAGAAGGCAGAATTGCAGCATCATGGATTTAGGCCTAGTCAAGGCCTCAGATCATCTAGTTCAATCCTTTTAGTCTATATATGAAGAAACTGGGGCTAAGAGAGCTTAAGTGACTTGTCTCTTCATCCTCATCATCATCACCATCACCATCACCATCATCACCATCACCATCATCATCATTATCATCATCATCATAGTTAATGTTCAGTCATTTCAGTGGTGACTGACTCTTTGTGACCCTATTTGGGGTTTTCTTGGCAGAGGTACTGGAGTGGTTTGCCATTTCCTTCTCCAACTCATTTTACAGATGAGGAAACTGAGGCAAATAGGATTAAGTGACTTGTCCAGGGTCACACGGCTAGGAAGTGTCTGAGGCCAGATTTGAACTCAAATCCTCCTGATTCTAGGGTTAGAGCTCTATCCACTGTGCCACCTACCTGCCCCACATTTTTTCATATTTTGCATACACATACATGTATGCATACATACATACATAGAATATATATACTCTATCCATTTTGCCATCTGGCTGTCCCATCAGCATCAAAACTAGCATTTATATAACACTTTGAAGTCATTATTATCCCCATTTTATAGGTAAGGAAACTGAGACCTAGTGCCAGAGCCCTGATTTAAACCCAGGTCCTCTGACTCTAAATCTAGAACCCCTTTCACTACAGCACAATGCCTCCCATAAGGGGAGGGATGGGAGTGTCAGAAAATAGGGTGTTTGAGATAGAGGGATCAGGGTGGGGCTCAGAGATTGCCAGGTCCAGGGTTCTGTTTGCTAGCAAACAGAGCTCTGGGCAAGGGGAGGGGCCCACCAGAGTCTCTCACCCAAGTTGCCTGGCTACACTCATCAGGGCTCCACTGCTATCAGCTGTGCCTCACTTCCCCCTCCCTCCTGGTCCCCCCCATCCCATTCCTTCATTCCTGGAGCCCTCTCATTATTACCACCACCACCACACACAATCAGCCGCTCTCCTTTAGCTTACCAGGGCTGCCAGATCGCACGGAGGGGAGGGCCTGGACACTCTCTGACCCCTCTCTGGCCTCTGTTGATTCTGGAAGTTTGGCAAATAAGTCAAAGGCTGAACCACCTAGAGCTGCTGTGGTGGGGAAGGGGCAGAAGGACAGACAGGGAGGAAGAGGACAAATGGGTCTGCACCCTCCCAAGAAATGAATGAGGTATTCTCCTTTCTGGGGGCAAAAATAAGATCTGTCCTATAGAGGACTCAATATACACCACCTCTTCCTGTCCCTTGCCCTAGAGACTCCTCACTCATTGAAGGCAGAGAGATTTAAACCCCAGGAGCCAAGTCTCCGGGATCAGGGATGGAGCCAGAGTCATGAACCCTCTCGTCCCACCTCCCACCTTCAGACTGGATGGTTTAGGAGGCCAACAGGCTTTCACTTACTGGGAGTGCTGGGGGTGTCCAAGGTAGCTCCCCAGGGATCTGTTCCTGTGCCAGAGGGTTTGTGTTGGGGGGAATCCTTCACCCAGGGATCCATGGAAAGGGGGGGCCCAGGCGTCCGTCTCCAGGGTTCCGAAGATGAGAGCATAGATGGCAAGTCCCAAGGCTGGCTACGGGACAGAGGATCCCCAGAGGGGGCTGGAGACCAAGGGTCTGCAGAGGGTCCCCAAGAGGAACCGGCAGGCTCCACAGTTGGCCTGAGACCTAAAATGAGAACAGCACTGACACACTGTCATTTTCTTTCCCCGCCCCCAGCTGCTTCTCTCCATCCCACATCTCATCCTTTCTCCCTCCCTCATTACTCTCCTGGTCACCTTCCTTATCAGAGAGGACATGGTAACCAACCATGGATTGGGCAAACTGAGACACTACGTAGGAAATCTGGAGCCTTCCATCTCCCTTCTGATCACTTAGATTCCTACCAGGGAAGGTCCCTAAGAGGGGGAGGAAGGAAGAAAAGGAAAACAGAAATAGAGAGCTAAAAGAGGAAAATGGGGGAAGGTCTACCCAGAGACTGGCTATGGAGGGAGAGATTATCTCTAGGTCCCAGGGAGTAAGGGTATGTGTGTCTCTCCCAGGACCTGACCACCCCACCTGGAATATCCCATGGGTCAGCAGAGCTGTGTGTGGAAGGTGGAGCTGGTCCTGGTCCAAAGATATCAGCAAGGTCCAGGATGGAAGACTACAAAGAAGGACAGTGAAGACACGTTTGAGCACCCTGGGAGTGGGAGCTCCTGGCTCCAGTAGGGGGCAGAGTCACAGAACCTCAGCCTCTCTTATTCATTCAATTCCACTATTTGATTAAATACTTCTACTGTACATTCTGGTGGAAGAGTAATTTCCAACCCTTTCCTGTCCTGTCCTCTCTGTTTCCATCCTCTCCCTTCCCATCAGCAGGGGAAGGCAGGATGGTTAGCAGAAAGATCCTAAGGTCATAGGGCCTAGAGCTGGAAGAAATCATCTGGTCTAACCCCCTCATTTTCTGAGGAAAACTGACCCCCAGAAAGGGGAAATGACTTGCCTAACAAAGCTCTTTCCACATAAGACTCCCAGTCATCGTTATGTATCACTCCCTTTTACATTCTCTACTGTCCAGCCAAACTAGTCTTCTTGTTGGGCTATGCTTATGGTAGTACATCTCCAAGATCCATGTCCTTACACAGGCTCTCCATCCATCTCCTACATTTGGAAAGCACTGCCTCCAACTCTAGAATCTTATTTGCTTCAAAATCTACCTCCTACATGAAGTCTTTTCTGCCCCCCCCAGCTGCTAGTGCTTCCCCCTCCATATTATAGATTTTATTTATATGTGTGTATGTGTATATATGTATGTATGTGTATGTGTGTGTGTATATACATACACACATATATTTGGAGGCAATCAGGGTTAAATGACTTTCCCAGGGTCACACAGCTAGTAAGGATTTGAGGCCAGATTTGAATGTAGGTCCTTCTGATGCCAGGGCTGGTGCTCTATCCGCTGCACCACCTAGCTATCCCAGAATTTTCTATATTTTGACAAATACATATATATATATATATATATATAATATGTGTGTGTGTGTGTGTATATACACATATAATATTTATGTGTATTATTGCCCTTATATAATGTAAGCTCCTTGAGGGCAAGGACTGTTTCCTTCTTTGTTTTAGTATCCCAAGGGCATAGCATACAACAGACACTTAAAAAATGCTTACTGATCACCCAGGACATCCCTAGGCTGGTTTAGGGCTTCAGGGAAAGTCATAGCATGAACCCCCTTACTTTAACATTTTTATATGAGGGAAGAATCTGGTTGAAATCGGTATCAAAGATGGCCTCTAGGGGAAAAGATTCACAAAAAGTTCTAGTTTAGCCAGAGGAAGACTTGGAGAGGGGTCGTTGTTGAGAGGTAAGCAGAAACTCAACATTGCCTTAACTTGTATGTATAGAACACCCCCCCCCCCCCCCCCCGCCCCAGACACCTACAGCTGACTGATACTTCTTTTTTCCACCTATTCTCCTCTTGATTGTCACCAACCCAATCCAGTAGTATAACAGACATCGAGGGTCATAAAAGCCAGACCTAGAATGGGGCTCAGTAGTCATGAGAAGGTCCAACCTTCTCATTTTACTATGGAAAACATCAAGAGGCCCAGAGCGGGGCAGTGTCTAAGGTTACACAATGAGTAGAACTTGGACTAGGGTCCAGTCAGCTGAGGGTCCTCTCCATTAGAACTTAGGTAATGTAGTACCCCCAGAGCCTGAATGGAGCCTGGGGCAGTCAACTTTGTCATACCTGAAGGATGGTACTACCCTTAACCTGACCCTCTGGCCCCTTCTGCTGTCCCTCATGACTGCTACATCCCTTTGTCCCTCAATTCCTTATTTCCCCCTCCCAGCATGCTTCCCCACCTCCATAGGCTTCCATCCCTTCACAAACCTGGCTGGTTTTCAGTTTCTCTCCTTCCTTTTCCTCCTTTCTTTCGGGGTCCTGGTCCCGCCGACCATGGCCCCCAGTGCCTTTGGGTAAGGGGGAGTCATCTCCCCTCCAGGACCTCACCTCCTGCAGTTGGGACAGATTGGTGGTGGGGCAGGGGGAGCAACCAGCTAAGTTTGGGAGCCATGGGGACTCTGGGACCCAGGGCCCTAGAACCCAGGGCATCCAATGTTAGGCTAAGGAGAACGCTCAGCTCCCCAGAGGATCCACCAGGAGCCTGCAGACACGAAGAGAAAGCAGGGGTGGGGGTGGGGAGATGAGGGCAGGGAGGGTGGCAGGGGAAAATCCAGGCTAGGTGACAGAGTGGTTAAGGAGCCAGGCGGGAGCGAGAAGGAGCTGGAGAGACACCAAGTGAAACCGAGAGGAGCCCTGTTAGTGCCCAGAAGCACCAGCACCAGCACCAGTCCCAGAGTAGGATCTGGGGGCTCCGCTACCTTCTCATGCTCCTGCTGGCTCAGGCGCAGTGCCAGCTGCAGCTGCAGATCCTCGTCCCTGTGGGAGGCTGGAGGGACCGGCTGCTGGGGATGAAGGAGAAGAGAGTGAAATGGATGCTCCCCTACTTGGCTCAGCTCACCTTCCCCCACCCTTTCAGTTCTCAGTCTTGGACAAGGGGGCTGGAGGGGGTGGGCAGAGAAAGGAAGGACAGAGGGTAGGAGACCTGGGACGAAAAAGCAGCAAGGGGACAGGGCAGTGGTAGGGGACAAATGGGGCTGAGGGAGGACAGCCAAAAGAGATGGGGCAGAGTGAAATAGGGGCAGGAGGAAAGTGGGAGATGGGGCTGGAAGAAGGTGGAAGATGGGGCAGGTGAGATATGGGACAAAAGGGAAAATGGATGATAGGATAGGAAATATGGTGTCTAGGGAACCTGGACAGGGAGAGAAAAAAGATGGACGGTGAAGGGAAACAGGACACAGGGATGATAGAGGAGAAATAGCCTTGGGGGGCAGAGGGGATTTCAGACAAGTAGTATTAGGGCAGAGGGAAAGTGGGAAAGAGAAAAGAACAGAGGAAGAGCTGGGCTACAGTCCTGTGATGTCAACTGCCCAAGCCCCAGGCTAATGGAAAGGGGAAAAAAAAGTGTATTCGCACATTATTTTGCATACATTTGCAAGTTTTATGTGTCAAAATGCTCCCTTCCCACCCCTTAAATCTTCCTCTTTCTACGGAATGCATCTGAACCCTTGCTGGGTGAACATAGGAAAGAAGCCATTCCACACTGTACTTAAGTGTGCTCAGCTTTGACAGGTGGGATCTGCAAAGGGAAATGTAAAGCCCTGGGGTGTGGATGGGGAGGAAGAGTCCCACAAAAGATGCTAGAGTTATTTCCTCTTGTGGTCTTCTTAGGGAGGAGATGTACCCTAAGGCACTTTGCCGCACTATATCCATGTCCAGAGAGCCCAAGGAGGCACCCTTGATATACCCCAAGTATACCCCTCCCTCTGTCCCTACAGGTGTGTCCCCCTCCCCCCATGAGTCCTTTAGGATCATGAAGACAGGCAGAGAGAAGAAACTTGCAGAGACAAACCAGCTCAGGTTTGCTAGGGCCCTCCCCTTGGGTGGTTCAAACAGAAGCTAGGGAGGACCAGGGTCCTTCAGCCCTTTAACCCTTCAAAGTGGCTCTAGCTCTTTTCCTTCAGGAAAAGCCTCTAAGCCAGAGAGTCCAACAGCAGAAGGAATTAGGCAGATGGGTACTCACTGGGCACACTTGGGATTGAGGGCACATGGGGTTGGGGCTACTCCAATCTACAAAACACATGGACCTAGCCTGGTTCCATCTGTGACAGTCACCTTCTGGCTGTAACACGGTACCTAGTGGCCTTAGCACTCTAAGCTGGGCCCTGCCCATAAAGCTGGTGCTTTCTGACTGCATCTGTCAGACAGGGGCTGGCCTTACCTTTTCAGGGCAGAGCCTTAGCCTCATGGCCTAAGGGCCATGTCTATACCCCCTTCACACACACATACACATCAAATCCTATTGATCCCATGATGACATTACCTTCTCTGCCTCTTCCCGGCTCATGGCCAGCGCCAGCTGCAGCTGTAGCTCCTCCTCTCCTGTTGTCTGAGGTCTAGCTTGCTCCAGGTCGGAGGTAAATCGAGGAGATGAGGATGAGGCTGGAACAGGGAATAAAGGTTTCAGACTCTCCAAATCCTTGTTATATTCAAAATGTTCAGGATACATCTTGAAACAGGGAGGTCTGAGTTGGAGTAGGTGAAGGAAACTCCACAGTGTCAGATTTGAGGTCAGGTAAGACCTGGGTTCAAATCCCACCTCCTACACTTAATAGCTGTGTGATCACTGGTAGGTCACTTAATCTCTGTGACTGACTTTCCTCATTTGTAAAATAGAGATAATAACACGGGTAGTACCAACCTTGGGGCAGCAAGTTAGGTGGTGTGGTGGATAGAACCCTCAGCCTGGAGTCATGAAGACTCATTCATCTTCCTGAATTCAAATCTGGCCTCAGACACTTATTAGCTGTGTGAACCTGGGCAAGTCACGTAAGCCTGTTTGCCTCAGTTTCCTCATCCATAAAATGACCTGTATAAGGAAGTGGCAAACCACTCCATCATCTTTGCTAAGAAAATCCCAAACTTAGAAAGAGTCAGATATGACTAAAATGACTGAACAACAACAGAAGTACCTACCTCAGACAGCTGCTATGGGAATCACAGGCAATAGTGAATTGAAAGCACTATATAGATGCCCTCTATTATAATGTTGTTGTTATCTTTCTCGGAAGAAGTTTCAGTAGAAAAAAAATTGAGAAAAGTTGTTAGCCCACCACTATTTTACATTCAGTGTTCTGCAGACAACTAGGCAGGTGGATAAAGTAACTGTCCTTTATAATTGAATAAGAGTATTGGGGTATAAGTTTATCCTCTGTAGAAAGCATCTTCAGGTCAACTCCAGTGACAGATTGGATGGCAGGGATGATCTGTGCCTCATCCTGGTCTCACACAGTTTTAATTTCTTCAGCTAGATCTCTATGTTTTAAAAGCTTTTCATTCCATATAGTTTGGAGAGCATGAATATGACATAATGACATCCATTAAAAACACTGTTCTAGTTTTTATGGATCAATGTTAGGTCCAGGAGGTTGGGGGCAACCATTCTGTCTGTTAAGATGCTCTAGATTCAGTACAGTTTATTGGCTGATTTCTCTACATAATTTTATTTTTTTCTCTTTTAGAGTTGTGAATTTGTAGAACGGAGATTTGTCATGTTAAAAAAGTATAATGTCCCTAAACTTACACTCAAACTCAGAAATTGGGCCTCACTGGGCCACTGCCACTTTGGGTTCAAAGGGTATATCTCTGTGAAGTCATCTATCTAAAACTCTAACTCATGAGCGCCAACTGGTGTGATTTCCCCATTAACGGGCAAAATTAACTGTTTATAGAAATGAAGACAAAATTAACTTAAAAGTGATGTATAGTAAGAATAGCTATAAAACTTCCTCTCCCTTCACCCCCCGCCATAATAGGGAGCACTTTCCCACAAACATACACAGCATCTGTTGGAAGGACGAGCCCAGAACACCGGTGTTAAGGCACACATTGTAGGAAATTTGCACAGCCAAGCAGCCAAGTCAGTTTGCGCAGGGGTTCAAGGCTTCCTGCTTCTTGCTCTACCCTTATGCTGCTCCGTGATGGGCCCCACCTCTGTGTTGGGTAAGTCGCACCACTCTTGGGCTAGACTTACTGCTCATGGGGCATGGTCGCTACCAGGTGGACATCGGAGGCTTGCTCCTCCTGGGCAACTGTCTTCTCTACCTCTTCCAACTTTAGGTTCGGCCACAGTCCTTAGCTGTGGTACTGCTGTGTTCTTTTGGAAACAATAGGCACCTAGTATTGGTAGAAACTCTGCTCTCTCAGGACTGCAATTCTCAGGCTGGTTACCTACCAGCCGTGAATTTTAGCCTTTTTTTCTTGAGCTTACTCCAATTACTGGATGGGGTGATTCCCTCAGGGTGTTGTTGTCGTTGTTGTTGTTGTTGTTGTTGTTGTTGTTGTTGTTGTTGTTGTTGTTGTTGTTGTTGTTGTTCTTCTTCTTCTTCTTCTTCTTCTTCTTCTTCTTCTTCTTCTTCTTCTCCTTCTTTTTTGGTTTGTTTTTGCTAGGCAATGAAGTGACTTGCCCAGGGTCACACAGCTAGGAAGTGTCAAGTGTCTGGTCCGAGACCTGCATTTGAACTCAGGTCCTCCTGACTCCAGGGCCGGTGCTCTATCCACTGTTCCACCTAGCTTCCCGGATGGCTGGTAGTTCTGCTAGAAAAATTGAGAGGGGGGAGGGAGAGAGGAAGACCTACCCCCTTGCCCTCAGTGATTCCCTCTCAGGGGCTGAGTTCTTCCTCCCCTTGAAGTGACAGATTATCTTTTAAGGGTCACCAAGGGGTGTGTCCATCTTCTTTCATCCAATGAAGTTGCCCCTTCCATTTCATTCGGAGAAAGGTGCTCATACTTTGTAATGGCATCACTGAATGTTGGCCAAACCTTTCATCTGTGATTACATCAGCTGAGCTGGAAGGGGAGGGGGACCGAATCCCCCTTTTACAATAGAAAAAAAGTAAGTTTCTGGTGTATAATTCTAGCCTCCTCGTTGTATCTTTCTAGGTAGCTAGTAGGTGATAAACTTTTGCAGCCTTCACTGATACCTTGTCATTTCTGTCAATGCATTATATAATCTGCATTGCTCAATACATCAGGGCTCCTTAAGAGTAACCTTGCTTAAGTTTTTGTGGTGATGATCTGATCCTGAATCACTCGTATAAACCCCTTCATTTATAACAATAAACCTGCCTGACTCAGCCATTTCTCTTACACTGCTTTCTCAACATTATTCTAGTCACCAGGTCATGGCTTGCTAGATACTTGAAAGGTGCTATTTTTTTTTTACAGTTGGCAGGGACTATTTCCTTGCTTGAGTGATATTGATCATGTTTCGTAAGTATAACTCTACTGTGATTTTTGGAGTGGTAATGATGCCGTTCTGAATTAATACCACTCCACCCATCCATTTCTAAAAACTAATCCCTATCACTCGGCCACTTTTCTGATGGTTCTTTGAGTCTCTGTCAAAAAGTGGTTGGCAGATTCACAGTGATGTTGCTTTTAAAGGGCCTTTATATTTCCATTCTTGGATCTTAGCGGCTTCATAGGTTTCTTCTTTTGGTTGCATTAGACAAATCCAGTGGTAAATACTCATTAGAAGCTTTTACTATTGCTCAGTGACATCATATCTGCTTGTTCCAAAAATATTTCTGTAGGTTTCTGACCAATTTCTCATGTGCATTAAGGACATCTATCAATTTTTTTTCTCCTTTTTTTTCCTATGAGAAAGTGTTATTTTCAATAACTGCCTTAGGAAGTCGCACTCCAGGTTTCATTAATATAGAATGGGCTTTTGTTGGGATACTTCTTCAATCTGTTATGGTCCATTTTTATAGTTCCAAAAGTGTACATTAAGACTGATGTTGAAGAATTGTTAATTGCTTCAAATACATTCTTCTCATTTAAGCTTTGACTTCAAGATGCCAGTGAATCTCTTAAGATTCAGCCATAGCCTTCTTGCTTGATGAATTATTATTTTTGTTATTATTGCAATTATTATTTTCAAGAAGACACAGTAGTATATTAGAAAAAGTATCAGACTAGCAGTCAGAAGACTTGGGATCTAATCCTAACACTATCACTCACTAGCTATGTGGCCATGAGCTAGTGGCTTACCCTGATGTCAGTTTCTGAGTTGGGGAAGATAATACCCTTTCCTTCCTCCTTCACAAGATTGTTGTGAGGAATAAAGGAGATAATGTAGAACTGTACTAACTGAATCCACGATAAATTTATGTTATCTAATTTCAAATAAGCCTTCACTGGAGTAAGACAATCTTATTTACTTCTCCCTATTTGGTTCTCTGTCCCACTCACTACAACAGCCATTCCAAACCTCATCTCACTGTCCCACTCTACACCACTCCATCTTTTTACACTCTCAGCTGAGGACTTCACCTTATCCTTTACTGAGAAAACTGAGACTATTCGAAATAAGTTCCCTCCTCTCCTCCTCATCTCACAACTCCTTGACACCACCCCCTAGTATGTCCTTGTTAACTTCACTTTCTGGGACAGAGGTAGTCCTTCTTGCCATGACTAATTCTTCTACTGTTGTTGTCGTTCAGTCGTTTCAGTGATGTCTGACTCCTCATTGACCCCCTTTGGAGTTTTCTTGGAAGAAATACTGGAGTGGTTTGCCATTTCCTTCTCCAACTCATTTTACAGTTGAGGAAACTGAGGCAAATAGGGTTAAATGACTTGCCCAGGGTCACACAGCCAGTAAGTATCCTTTCATATGTACGCTCAATCCCATTCCCTCTCATCCCTTCCAGCATATTGACTTTACTATCATTCCCCTTTTTTGATTTGCACTCTCTCCTTATATGCTGGTTCCTCCCTGCTGTTTACAAACATGATCATCAACTCCATCTTTAAAAAAACAAACAAACAAAAACCTTCACTAGGTCCTACTCTGTTCACCAGGTATTGTCCTATATCCTTCCTCCCTTTCTTAGCCAAACTCCTTGTAAAAGCTGCATAGACATATATAATCTATATCAAGTTGCTTACCATCTTAGGGAAGATGGAGGTCAGACAGGGAGGAAGAAAATGTAGAACTCAAAATTTTATTAAAAAATGAATGTTAGGCTCAGATTCTTAAGATCTGGCCTGCGTACATTAGCAATACAAATGCTTAGATTCCTTAAGAGTCTGGTCAATATGGCAGATTCTTTAAATCTCATCCACCCCCGATTAATGTTCAAGTAAGCCTTGTCTTTGGCTGAAAAAAAAATGAATGCTAAAAATTGTCTTTTTATGTATTTGGAAAATACTATTTTTTAAAGAAAAAGTTGCATACATACTGGTCATCTATACTTCATCTTCTGACTCTTTTCTAAACCCTCTGCAATCTGGCTTCCAAACTTATCACCCAAGGGGAGCTGCCCTGTCTCCAAAGTGACCAATAACCTCTTAACTGCCAAATCTAATGTCCTATTTTTAACCCTCATCCTTCTCAACCTCTCTGCGGCATTTGACACTGTTAACCTCCTTCTCTTTTTGGATACTTGCCTCTCTGGCGTCTGTGATATACTCTCTCTTAGTTCTCCTACCTTACTATAAGTCCACTTCTCCTTAGTTTCTTTTGCTGGATCTTCAACTACATCATGACCCCTAAAGGGGGTTATACCCTAAGGCTCCGTCCTGGGCCTTCTCTCTTCTTTATTTTCTCACTAGATGACCTCATCAGCTCCCCCAGGTTTGATTATAATCCTTATCTGGATCATTCCCAGATCTCTATATCCAGCCCTAGTCTCTCTCTCCTGAGCTGCAGTCCTGCATTACCAATTACCTGCCAGATAATTTTCTGTGTATCCCATAGGCATCTCAAACACATATCCCCCTAATCCACCCTTTTAACTTTCCCATCCTTCTAGTCACCCATGTTCACTACCTTGATACTACCCTCAGCTCCTCACTTTCACTCACCCCACACATCCAGCCAGTTGCCAAATCTTGCTGTTTCTATCTCACCTCAAGTACCACCACCTATGTATTAGTCTTTCCTGATTCTTTCTCCCTCCACCCCCCATGACTTTTCCACCCAAGGTGACCCTTTATCTGCTTTATCCGTATGATTTTGGTTCATCCCACACTAGGATTTAAGCTCCTTGAGGGCAGGGACTACATCACTTTTGTCTTTGTCTACCTAGAACCAAGCATACGGTCTGGCACAATTTAAATGCTTGATGACTGACTGATGAAAATACCTTGATTCAATTCAACAGATATTTATTAAGTGCCTGCTGTGTGCACCACAAAAGGATGGATAATAACAACTACAACACTTTAGGGCTTACAAAGTACTTTTCACTTAACTGCCCAAGGCATAGTATAAGTATTATTATCTTCATTTTACAGATGAAGAAACTGAGGTTCAGAGAAGTTGAATGATGTACCCAGAGATCATAAAACTAGTATCAGATCTGGGACTCAATTACAGGACTTTTTTTTTTTTAAACCTCCATGCACTATGTTCTCTGCACCACACCACAGCTATGTGTAATTATATCCAGACCTGTGATTTCATTGCTACTTTCTCCAAGGATTCAGATTAGCAACTCACCTGCAACTTTTTGTCTTAAGGAGTTGTCTATGGTCATATAGCTAATATGTGTCAGAGGTAAAACTTGAACCCAGGTCTTGCCAGCTCCAGAGCCTCTCTCCATTATATGTGATTATTATTTGTAATGGATTTTTTTTGTTTGTGATTTGTTTTTTTTGTTTTGTTTGGGTTAAGTGACTTGCCCAGAGTCACACAGCTAGTGAGTGTTATGTGTCTGAGACTGGATTTGAACTCAGGTCCTCCTGACTCCAGGGCCGGTGCTCTATCCCCTGCGCCACCTAGCTGCCCCTGTAATGGATGTTTTTACAATGACATTTCAACCCACTGGAGAGCTACAGGGAGCCCCAGAACTCACAGAAAAGAGAAATAGATTAGTGAGACACCTGGGAATGGAGAGAGTTGTATGTAGGTACACAGATCTCAACACTCCCATTTCCTCTTTTTCTGCCCTTGAAAGAGACTTCTAGTTGGCCTTTTCTTCCCCCCTTCCTTCCCCACTTCTAAGCAGCTGAGAACAGAGAAACAAAAATTAAGAGCTGCTGGTGGGACAGGTGGCTGACACCAGGACCTGCTCACTATTGCCTTCTGTCGCCACTAAGCTGCTGCCTCTCAAGCTGGGAGTGCTAGAAACAGAGTTGGGACAGATCCTGGAAAGCTGCCATGACATCCGAGGCTCTGGGATGGAGACCATGGGTAGAGATGTGACAAGGCAGACCAGTGACCAGGGGAAGAAAATGGCTTGGCAGCTACCATGACATTGTAAATGTTGGTGAGATCAGACCAGGACACTAGACCCAGACCTATGCAGTGCTTTCCCAGTTCTCCATGGGTGGGCAAAGTCAACCCTGGTGGGATCTAAACTTGAAATCCCTTCCCTTTCCTATGACCTAGAGACTGGGAGGATGCTTGTACGAGGGGAACATGAATGGGTGAAGTTATCTATGAGTGGGGGCACTTGGTAGTTGCTTGATGAGTTACTTTATTATTTTGCTGTTATTATCGTTGTTATTTTAAAAATTGGGTCTCCCTAACTTGCCCAGGCTGGAAGGGGATGGGTTGAGCCCAATGTTGATCATCACAGAAGTTCTGACTTGCTCTGTTTCTGACCTGGGCCATTTTGCTCCTGCTTAGGCAGCCTGGTTGTGCCTGCTGCGAGGGGTGTATCACATGTGGACCAGACAGTGCAGACACACCATTGATTTTAGCCCTACTACAGCTCAGAACTCCCAAGCTCAAGCAATCCACCAACCTCTGCCTCCAGATGTATACTGCCATGCCTGGCTACTTGACTATGTTTAAAGAAACCATGTGAGCACAGTGTTGACTGCTTGGGTAATACACATATAGAGGTTTAGGCCAATTGAAGGAAATCTTGAAGACAAGGGATCCCATAATTCTCATACTTCAGAGTAACATTCCATTTTCTTTTCTCTTAGATTGAATTTTGAAAAACAGCTACCAAGAGTGAATAAATCTGTCTAGCCAAGAAATTGAGGAAGAGATCTCTCATACAAACTGGAAAAACCAACTTCCCTCTCTCCCTGGGTCCATGGCTGGAGCAGAGTGCCACCTGACGGAAAGATTACATAACAAAGTCCCTTCCTGGTTAATTAATTAGTTAAGTGACAGCCTGCTCTTGTGTTGGACTGTAGGAAGCAGGGTATAAGCCAGGTGTGGATTATTGCTGCTGCATCCATCCCCCGGCACAACAACTAATTGTTCATATAGCCAGCTTTACTGTCACATTATTTTTATTCCCCCAGTAGGGACCTTGACCTGAACAAAACCTTCATTTCAAGGTTCCCCCCTCCCCATCCTATCTTCTTGCTAAGCCTGACCCCTCACTCACAGTTGTAGGAAGAAGGGGATCCTCTGGTCCGGCTGAACTCGTCCCCATAATGGGAGGACCGGCGACCATAGCTCAACTGCCCGCTGCCAATGCCAGAGCCCTCTAGGGCCATGCGTTCCTTCGTCTTGAGTGCGTGGGTCCTTTCCTGCTTCAATCGTTCCTCATCCTTGAGCAGCCCCATCACCTGCTTGACCTTCTCTCGAACATTGATGCCCTGATCCTTGCCATCTCGATCCACATACTGGAAATCCTTGAGGGTCTGAATGGTGTAGAGGTTCTCTCGACACTGGTGGGCTACTTTATCAGAGCCAGTCTTCAGCAAATAGTCCAACAGGGTCAGAGCCTTGTATACATGGCGCCAGTTCTTCCCACTATCATTGAGCCGCCTCCAGATCATGCCCATAACCTCAGCGAAGGCCACGGTATTAAAAGTCAGGTCAGCGATTTCTGACATGAGGGTGCTTGGTGGGCCCCAGGGATCATTGCTGGTTGCTTCACGTACCTTAATTTCTGCTTCTGAATAATTATGCACGATATTCTTTACCTGCCGTCTCAGAGCTGAAGTTGTCATGGCTGGGGGTACTGGGGATGGGTGTCCCCTCCCCCAGCCAGAAAGGAAGCACTGAGGGCAAGAGGTTAATATTCACAGGCTCTGATCCCAAGAAATTCGTGGACAGAGAATGTTGGTCTCAGTAGGAATGGGACCGTTGCTGTGGATGGCTCTTCATGGATCTGAAAAAAGTGGGTAACGTGATGGTCAGGACTCTAGACACAATATCCCAGGCCCCTGGTGAGTTTTCATCTACAACTACTTTTTTTTTTT